GCCTCCAACGGGGACAAAACCCACCAGCTTCAAGACCTAGCACAACAAAAGTTGGAGCTCGGCACAGGGATGTGGTGATGCGGTGACACACTGGGGGCACTATAAGCAACCATAATTGGGATAAATGAGAAGGTGTAGTGTACAATATATAGATACTATACTAAACTAGTGGTAACTATCACTTTGTTTATCTTGTTATATCTTCTTCGGGTTTGCCATACTAGCATTCACAAGCCACAACAGATCACAATTTGATGATCAAGTTTGGCAGTATTTTGGTTGGAAGACTTGCCCCAAATTTATGTCTTTGATGGTATTGTCCAGCGAGGTGGCTTTAAATCAACCCCACATGTAGTAGATACATCAACTGATGCATGTATATTTTGATAGGAGGTTTCATGAAAACAACTAGCATCCGATGCACACTCCAAGACATATTTAACTTTAAAAAAAATGACGGAATATCATATCTTGATGATTGTTGATGCAAATTATTGACTGTATTATTGACTATATTATATATATATATATATGGGTTATAAGGATGGTGATACGGGGGGCTAGCGGCTAGCAGGGGTGATGGGGGTGGATAATGGTACTGCCACTTCGCCACTCAAGACGCTCAGGGGACAGTGGAACAGTGGGACGAACAGGAGGAAGTATCCCGCGATCATCTCCGTAGCTCACCCCATTCCCGCACCTGACGTGCTTCCTTCACGCTCTGGTACCAGGTCGAAATCTTGGAATTCTTCATGCCTGCAGCAATCATGGGACCCGAGCCCTGGCAAAGAAAACATTGGAAAACCACCTGAGTCTATGTCTATCTATCTACCTACCTACCTACCTATCTATCTATCTATCTCTCTATCTCTCTCTCTCTCTCTTTCATCTGTCTATCTGTCTAGCTGTCTACCTGTCTATCTGTCTATCTATCTATCTATCTATCTGTCTATCTGTCTACCTGTCTATCTGTGGTGCAGTGTCATTCAGTGTAATGTAGTGTAGTGGAATGTAGTGTAGTGTAGTGTAATGTAATGTAGTGTAATGTAATGTAGTGTAATTTAGTGTAGTGGAGTGTAGTGGAGTGTAGTTGTAGTTGTAGTGTAGTTGAGTGTAGTGTAGTGTAATGTAGTGTAGTGTAGTGAAATTGAGTGTAATTGAGTGCAGTGTAGTGTAGTGGAGTGTAGTGTGATGCAGTGGTGGTTGTAGTTGAAAATGCTACAAAACCCTCACGTTTTGCTCACTTTTGACAAGGTGCACAATCCCTTACGCCTGCCACGCGAAGCGATCTGAACCTCCAAAAGTGGTCCGAACCCCTAGTGTTTTTAACATTTTGACTTCGAAATGTGCTTCGCGCCACAACGGCGTGCACTTTTTCGACATCTGAACACCCAAAAAGTGGTCCGAACCCCTATGGTTTTTAACATTTTGACTTCCACATGTGCTTCGCGCCACAACGACGTGCACTTTTTCGACATCTCAACTTCCAAAAGTGCTCCGACCATGGTGTGCTTTGTGCATTTTGACTTCCAAATGTGCTTCGCGCCACAACAGCGTGCACTTTTTCAACATCTCAACTGCCAAAAGTGGTCCGGAGCTGGTGTGTTTTGTACATTTTGACTTCGAAATGTGCTTCGCGCCACAACGGCGTGCACTTTTTAGACACTTTTTCGACATCTGAACCTCCAAAAGTGGTCCGAGAATGGTGTGTTTTGTACATTTTTACTTGGAAATGTGCTTCGCGCCACAACGGCGTGCACTTTTTCGACATCTCAACTTCCAAAAGTGGTCCGAAGCTGGTGTGTTTTGTACATTTTGACTTCGAAATGTGCTTCGCGCCACAACGGCGTGCAATTTTTCATCTCTCATCTGGCCAGCTGGCTCCGCACCCGCCGCTTTAGCGAGCCTACTTTTCGACCCTCCGGAGCCCAAATCATTGGAAAAACACAGTGTTTCGCGACTTTCCTACCTTTTCGCGCATCTGCATCTTCTTTCTTCTGACTCTTTCTCTTCTGATCTTCTCTCTTCTAATCTTTCTCTTCTCTCTGCCTCTTCCCTGCTCTGCTTTTCATCTGTCCATATTGTCGGAAGTTTGACTTCTAAACTTCCTTCGATTAACTCTTATCCGCCATTTGGTTGTCATGCCAGGAAGGGAATGGATAATTTGCCTCTCCATCCATTTACTCTTCTATAATTACTCGTGGAAGTACCAGTCAGAACAAACAATCACTAATTCGATCCTAGTTCAGGTTTTTTTTTGGTTGGTCACTTATATAGATAAAATGTAAAATAAAATATTGTTATGCGAAGGATTTGCGGCGGCGATGGATGTGGGGTCCCCCGAGCCAAAAGATCGTTTTTTTTGCCTAAATCTCAAAATGAAGGACCCCGAATCCATTGCGGGAAAAATCATGATAATAGAATATAATAGGTAAGGCTACCTAAGTCCACATGCAAATTTCTGCACCCTGATATCGGCAAAACAAACATTTTTTTTCCTAAATCCCAGGGTGCAACCTCTGTATTGCCGAAGTCTAGGTGCAGAAATCTGCACCTTGACTTAGGCAATACCCACCAAGCACCTAGGATATCGTCATTTTTTTCGCCTAAGTCCTAAGTCAAGGTGCAGATTTTTGCTCCCTGAGTTCAGCAAAATCCATCATTGGACGTTGCATTTAAAGGATATATGACGGTTTGTCAAAAAATGTCTTGTCCTGGTTTTGTTGATAAATCGTAATTCCTTGCGCGCCGCTTCTTATTGTGCCTTTAAAACCATGACTGATCTAAATAGTCTCAAACCCTGCATTTTATCTTTCATGTTTGAAGCCGTAGCTAAAACCTGCAGTAAATGATAACGCGCGTCTATATGAAGTGGGTGCCGCTGCTAGTTGTTAGTGGTGGAACTGGAATATCTGCAGAACTGGTCGTTGCCTTTTCTGTCACTGTTGCAGTGTCAAACAAACAGGATAAACTACAAGTTCTCTGGTGGCGACTGGCGACTGGGTCATGGGTTAGCGCATTGCTAGCGGGGATCTAGCGGGTAAAATTACGTACCATTTCGCAAAGTTGAGCGGCAACCTCAAAAATATAGGGAAATTGTTGAGTAGCACAGAAATTCACTAAGACATCCTTAGGTTTAAGGAGCTAAGTGTTACATCTTGACTTCTCTTCATGTTGAAAAAACAAGCAGACAGGAACACACAAAATATCCCAGAACATGGGTGTGAAAAAAAAATAGCGCAAACCTAGCGGGTTTGTTAGCGCTGCCTTGCAGAATTGGTGAATTTAGTTGCCGCCTCATAACGAAGAGGAAAAACAACTAGGTCCACACTAACTATCAACAACTAGTACAAAACTTCTGTCAACTATTTTTGGCAAATGGTCATATGATGTAGACGTAGAAATAATGGGAAATTTTAGTATTTGAAAAAAATGGTGATCATCAGGGATAATATTGATGGCTTTACACCAAAGGTATATGGGAACACCACCCTAGAAGAAACATGAGCGTGGTTGAACTGAAACAAATGGATATAATTAGTACATACATACCCTATAAAGGGATGATACCCATTCCATTTTAATCCAGCAATTGGTCGGGTACCCTCTGAGGGAAATGGTAGTGGACCCCTGTTTATCCAAAGAACATGATAGAAACAAATAATCGTAATCGACACTGGGATGAAACCAACTTAATCAACCAATTGGCTGCCTAAGAGTGAAACTAAAAATGCACATATAATTATCCATGAACATGTTTGAAAACACATAGATATATTAAATAACCAATGGACAGATGATAACCGTTTAATCAATCAATTGGTTACCTGATAGGGGAAATAAGCAGGTACCTATAATACAATTCAATTCCACCAATATTTGGAAAGACCCAAGAATCCATTTCCAGAGACCCCAGATCATTTGCAAAACCTCATGGGTCAGTAAAGCCTGAAAATCCTCCAGTTCGGACTCCGACTATGATTTCTCACAGGGTGCAGGAAAGGGCCCCACAGGTATGCTTGTTGGACTACGTTGCCCTATTCGTGCATCAACCGATGAAATTTCCATAAGTCCAACAGTTGACAGCTCGCAAAAGAAAATTACAAAACGAACACCTGTTGTTTGGCGCCAACCGAAAAACTCGAGGTTCTGCGGTCCGACAACGTCTGAGAACTTGCCCAAAAACCAGGGCCCCGCTTGGTGCCCCACGCTCTTTCGCTTGATCCGACATTTTCTTGTACACCACTCGACCGCGTCTGCAGCAGCATTTGGTCCCGAGGTGAGGAACTCATGAAAATAGTTTTTTATATGCTTTAACAGATATCATAAAATCAGCTATATCATCATGAATACTAGTAGCACAAGTTAAAACAATGACCAAACGAATCCAAAGTTGATGTGTATATTCATATATACATACAAATCTGGAAGAACATGTTGCAACTTCTGAGCTGGGTCTCCTCAGTTTCCAGGCTTACTCAGTTCATGGAGATCTAACAGTGCCCTGCAGGTATCCCACCCAACAGCTGCTGGCGTATGGAGCCTCTTTCACAAAACGAATACAGCAACTGTTTCGTTAAAGGCCTGCCGTATTTGCTTTGCGGGGGCGCTCTAAGGGGGCACACCCTTAATACTTAATTAGATTTCTATTGGTGTTTGAAAGGTTTCTGGCAAAGCTGGCAGCCTGTTGGTCTTCAAATTATGCTTCTTCAATCGGCCCACGGTCTTCTCTTTCCTTGGTCAGGACACTGGTTGCTGACGCCAGCCGTTTGAAGCATCACGACATATCATAGACCTGATGAACAGTAGCACATGTGCATCACAAAATGTTGAGCATTGACATACACGTAAACATGCAATCAAGATATGTTGTATATACAAGAAACGAGATTTGTATATATATATATATATTTTTAAATATATATATATATATATTCAAAAATAAAAATATACATATATGCATTAAACATCATTAAACAGGATTGGGAACTAAGCACACATATATATATATGCATATACATTAAAACTAGATACATACACACACACATATATATATATATATTGTGTATATATATATATATATCATACCCTCCAGATCCCTCCAGTTATTCAGCCTAGCGATGGAAATTCGACAATTTACTTCCATGATTATCCCATATCGACCCATCAAAAGTGAGGATTCTCCATTGCCATCCATGTCAACTTACCAAAAGTATCCCCATCTCTCCCTGCTACCCTTTGGTAAACTAACATAGCTACTGAAAATTCCCATGATCATCATTATCTATATAGATGTTTTATCGAATCTACCAAAATTTGTTGCCTTTCCAAAGCATTCCAAAGCTATGTTACCAGAGGGCAAAAGCAGGGTCAAACCCCAAGACTCATCTCCGTCCAGGCTCCATCCAACATAAACGCGCCACTTGGCCCAGCGACCCACAGCTACCTGGAAGCAGCGATGCCGAAATCTCGTGTCAACGCAACAGTTGGGGAACCCGAGATACATAGCAAACTCGTAAACCCAGTACTCCTAGGGAAATTAAAATATTTCACAATATATATTTCATAGTATTTCACGAACCTGAAACTTGCGGCCATCTGGGGATGATCCCCCGAAACCTGACCTAACCGTGATTCCGGTGAGGGAACGGTGAAGTCACTATAATTTGACCAAATATCATATGAAATGCATCCTTTTATTACCTTTTATTAGTGTAAGGTTTCAAGATTCATTATGCCCGAAAGGCTAGACTTGGGTAAATGCTTGCTGTGATTCATTTTTTGCAAGACTTAGAACCTTTGTATGAAGTGATTTATAAATTCATGCGCACAGATTAAAATCAGCCATGCACGCAGGTGTCTATTGTCTGAACTTCTCTTCAAAGCTGTTCAGTGACACTTTCAAACCCATGCTTAGTTCAAGGATTGGCAAAACATGATCTGTTGATTGTTGCGTGAAACCCTGGTTCCCAACCTGCATTGGATTCTCCGACAACAAGAACCTTAATCTGAAACTTAGGTACTGCAATTCCAGTACCTCGTTCACATTCGTTCATCATATTCTTACATACTTATCCCTGTTCAACTATTATGGTTCAGCAGCTAAGCATGTTGGAGTATTCATGATGGTTACTGAATACGGCTAGCCTTTGAGTATTCCCCTCTCTTCAGACCCGACACCCGCCTTGGGGTTGCCCTTCTTCTTTTTGGCTGCGCCAGCTGCCTGCTTGTGGTGACTGCGAGGTCAGCATCAGCAACCAGAAACCACCAAGGGAGGTACTTTTTCGAGGAAGTGACTTCCCTATTCGCTTCATTGCCATAAACTGGAGTAGATCCTTGTTGTTGACCACTGCAAGATGAACAACGAGGGACCGTTTTTCCTCACACCCATAGCTTTGTGGGGAGGTCTCAAGAGGATGGTGTTTTCAACGCATTTCTAAGATCGAAGAAATACATGGAAATATTCACCCAAATTTCGAAATGAAACCACCCAATAGGTGTCTATCGGTCTGTTGCTGTATATGAAGCTGTATCCTCATGTCTGCTGGTATTCACAGTTTTCCCATTAAACTGTGGTAAACAAAAATCTAACTGGTCCACACCAATACTTCAAATCCAACCAGTCATAATACCAATTTCGCTTACATCCCAGTTTGATCGTTGGTTCTAAAGCCAATCCCCCACTTCTGTTGTTTTTCAGTGTCAACCAGCAACCAGTCCTTCTTGAACCTTGCCTTCATGGCCTTCATGGCCTTCATTGCCTTGGAGGCCTTCATTGCCTTCATTGCCTTGAACAAGGAATTGAACCATGACCAGATACAAGGTGGCGCCCCAGTTACGTATATCACCGGGACCCATAAAATACGACCGCTCTTTGGGGATTCAGCCAACCCCCAAAAACGACCACCGCAGCTAATAGAGGCTCACCTTTGGGGGGTTGAATGCCCATGAAACTTGGATTATCAACCTTGAAAATATGTCCACACATTTTTACTTATTTTTATAATAATAATAATAATACTAATAATATATATATATTATATGCATGAAATTGTTTGTATGTATATATATATATGTATATGATACAATATGTACAACTATACAGTATATTGGCTTACAACAATTCTTGCTGAACCCGGTATATGACCTCCACCAACACTGGTATTCTTAATGGGTTCGTGGTAAACGGGCCTACCTTATCTGCATTCACCTCATTGGACGAGTGGGTAACAAACAAACATTGGGGGCTTACGATTAACATTTGGGATTTCATTGGTTATTTGGGTTCATTCGTTCAAAATGGTTCAAACGGGGACGGTAAGAAAAATAAATTCCAACAGAAATCAAACCAAGCATATCTTGCTTTTCGATACCACAAAAATGTCGTGATAAATCCAACCACTGCGGTCTTTTCTGCGTACCCAACAGCTCTGATCATAATTTATGATGTTATTTCCAAAAAAAGTAGTTGGGTATGTTCTCCCACTCTATCTCCCCACTAATTATGGGTCATCAGCCACCAACCACAACCATCCCGAGGTGTTATGAAAATCACCTTCGAAGTCGAGGAAGAACTTGAGCGCTTGACCTTGGGAATGGATTGGAAGGGCAAACCAACCCGCAACGGCAAACCATGTGCTTCCTAGCACATATGTGTATATATATATATAATATATTATTAATATATGTGTGTGTGATACTGATACGTATATTGCTATGATATACTCCCGTCAAAATCCTTTACATCTCAGTAGTTGCTATCAGTTATCGTTTTTCTTTGGGGTGGGCGCCATATTATGGGTTTCCAGTGTTTTCTTCGGGGGTCATATCGCTTTACAGTGTTTTGTGCGCACTTCTGACAAAAACTCAACCACTTTGACCGTGACTCATATGTATTTGTGTAATTTTATGTACGTTTATGTCTAATTATTGTATGAGAAGTTTCCTGGTCAATTTCCACCAGTTCTGGAAGTAGCTGGTGGTTTCCAAACCGACCATTTGGGGATGAGACATGTTACCACCCATTTTTTTTAGTGATAGTAGGGATCTGGTTTATAATTGGGTTTGTATAATTAGGGTTTACCACATTGTTGATATCTAATTAGCCTTTTTAGTGTCCAGCCTTTTCTCTGCCATGGTTCCGTGCCAGATTCGTGACATAAACTAAAACCGTGGAAACGGGACGGCAGCTCTCAAAACTGACAGATTCTTGCTAGAAAACCTTTGTTTGCCGAAAGGAAACCTCTATCAATCAACCAGCCAGTGCTCATGTGGCATAGTTCATAGTTATCACGTTCATTTTTACACAACCATGACAATGAATCACCCGGAAATGAGAACCAGCCATGCAACAACACGCTCAGAGCAATGCAACAAAACAATTCCAGGAACATGGTTGGGCTGAAGAATGCAACATGACCTCAAACGAAAGAATTACAGTACAACCAGGTTTGTACCAATGTGATTGATTCTGTATATAAGATACACCCGCCAAAAGTTGCTAAATAACCTCAACATATGCTCACCTCAAGCCCGACTTTCACCAAAACGATGCATGAGAGTATTGATCAAATGATAATGAGTCAACTATAGCCAACCCTTATTACAGCCCGAAATTACAGAAACATCACATAAGACTTGACACACACCGTTTCCATTGCCCCATTCTATTTGAATCTGCACCCAATACGTGCGTTTCAGAAAGGATGATCTAAAGACAGTCGTGTTTGAAGTGCAGCCCATCCACCTGTGTCTTGACTGCTTTCATGACTTTCATAGCCTTCATGGCTGTCGCAGCCTTCATGGCTTTCATTGCTTTCATGGGCATCGGCATCGACGTTTTCTTCATAGCCTTGGAGGTCTTGTTGACCTCGCGCTGGTTGATTGAAGAGCCAAGAGGCTTGATTAAAAACAACAATTTAGTTCAGGAGTGTGGTCAACACCTTAGAGATCCTCTGAGCACACGCAGGTGTTTCGGCATCTCACCCGCGCTCTGTCAAGTTTTCGTTTTTCAATTGAACTCCAATTGAGTACCCTCTGGTAAACTAACATAGCTATGGAAGATCGTCATCTTCAATAGCGATAATCAACTATACTGTAAATGGGCCATTTGCAATAGCTATGTTAAATTACCAGCGGGTCGTGTTTTATATCCTTGTCTTTCGATCACCACTAATACTTAGCCTACGCCACTGTCTACGCCGAGCGAACGCCATTGCATGAGTTGGCCTACGCAGGGTATGTTTCTAAAGGAGTGCCTACGCGGTGTAGGCTTTGCCTACGTGGCCATGGTTTCTTTTTGTTTTCGATTGCAGCATGAGGCTTTGGAAACACCACCGCTAATATCACAACTAACCATTTCAAACTGAATAAGTTCTAACTGTTGCCAACAAGTGTCTACGCAAAGCCTACGCGGCATAGGCTAAATCGAGCCTGCGCCAAGGCCTATGCAACCTACGCCGTCTGCATGGGAGCCTACGCCTGGGACATAATCTGTCTTGTGGAGTTCCCACTTTATCTATTTTCCTGCATCCAAAGGAGGGGAAACAAAAAAACGCTACTCAAGTGTGTCATCAACCAGACTGGCTTATGAGCCCATCGGTAATTGAAATGGCAAACCAAGTTGGTTTTCGGATAGGTTGAAATTGTTGAATCTTCCTGGTCCCACGAGGTTTTTGCATCCGCATCATCCCTCCAAGTCCTTACCATCTGACTGGTCGTGGGTACATTTTTTACCATCTTTTACCTGGAAATACCTGGAAATACCTGGAATATGATATCTCTAATGTACAGATCAAAGGGCGTGTTCCACCAGATGCTGGGACGATGACTTCCCATGGTCGGGTCGCATTAGAACCACCGGTCCAAACCCATGGTGCACGTCCAAGTGGGTCTGAACATGGTGGATTTAAGCACCATGTTTTCAATGGCACTTGTGATCTGATCGGAACATATTGCGGAAAATAATGGAAAAGGATCATGAACGAGTGGATGGAATCAACACTTTCAAACAAACCCAAATGTATACACCCCTTTTTGACCTTGGCCTTCGTCTTGATGGTCTTCTTGCGTGAGTGGCTCACCTCAAAGAACTCGGGTGCCGGTAATCTTGACCATCCATAGGGTACCCATTTGATGGGTATGGGACTGTATCCTATGTATGCATGGTGTACAGTTACCGTCCCATTTTTGGTGTTTTTCTTAAACAAATACACATCTCACAATCAACCATGGGTTCTATTGTGGTTTGATTCATAAAACTCTTTTTGTTCAACTGCAATGTTTCACCTACAACAGAATAGAAGTCAGCACGATCCTTCACCAAAGAAACGAGACAGTGGACATTTCCCAATGAATGTCAGCGGATGTCTTCCCACATGAGGAAAGTAGACATGGAACCGGGAATTCAAGGCCCTCATTGGATGTCAGAGAGCACGTGCGTACAAACACCAAATCGAATAAGCGTCAGCTCAAGGCATTGACACGATTATTCCATGGACAACAGCTACACAATGGGTTGAAAAAAAAAGATGAAGCCCACGAACCCGAATGCTCACACGTATGTTAATGGTACGGATGTCAAAACACATGGTTATGCAGTCACGCACAATACCTTTCTGCAATAGTTTATTTGAACAGTCTTGTGCATGTTTCCCTTGTTACCAGTCTGCAGTGTGGAGTGGAAAGTGTAGAGTGTGGAGTGTGGAGTGTGAAGTAAGGAGTGTGGAGTGTAAAGTGTCGAGTGGGGAGTGTAGTGTGTGTAAAGTGTAGATTGCGGAGTGTAAAGTGTAGAGTGTGGAGTATGGAGTGTAAAGTGTAGAGTGTGGAGTGTAGAGTGTGAAGTGTGGAGTGTAGAGTGTAGAGTGTGGAGTGAGGAGTGTAAAGTGCAAAGTGTGGAGTGTAAAGTGAGGAGTGTAAAGTGTGGAGTGAGAAGTGTGGAGTGTAGAGTGAGGAGTGTAAAGTGTGGAGTGAGGAGTGGAAAGTGTAGAGTGTGGTGTGTAGAGTGTGGAGTGTGGAGTGTAAAGTGTGGAGTGTAGAGTGTGGAGTGTGGAGTGTCAAGTGTAGAGTGTGGAGTGTAGCGTGTGGAGTGTGGAGTGTGGAGTGGAAAGTGTAGAGTGTGGTGTGTAGAGTGTGGAGTGTGGAGTGTAAAGTGTGGAGTGTAAAGTGTGGAGTGTAAAGTTTAGAGTGTGGAGTGTAAAGTGTGGAGTGTAAAGTGTGGAGTGAGGAGTGTAAAGTGGAAAGCGTGGAGTGTAAAGTGTAAAGTGTGGAGTGTAGAGTGTATAGTGTAGAGTGTAAAGTTTAGAGTGTGGAGTGTGGAGTGTAAAGTGTGGAGTGTAAAGTGTTGAGTGTGGAGTGTAAAGTGTGGAGTGAGGAGTGTAAAGTGTGGAGTGTGGAGTGTAAAGTGCGGAGTTTGGAGTGTGGAGTGGAAAGTGTGAAGTGTGAAGTGCGGAGTGTAAAGTGTGGAGTGTGGAGCGTAAAGTGTAGAGTGTGGAGTCTGGAGTGGAAAGTGTCGAGTGTGGAGTGTGGAGTGTAGAGTGAGGAGTGTAAAGTGTGGAGTGTAGAGCGAGGAGTGTAAAGTATAAAGTGTGGAGTGTGGAGTGTACAGTAAAGTGTGGAGTGTGGAGTGCGGAGTGTGGAGTGGAAAGTGTAGAGTGTGGCGCGTAAAGTGGGGAGTGAGGAGTGTAAAGTGTAAAGTGTGGAGTGTGGAGTGTAAAGTGTAGAGTGTGGAGTGTGGAGTGTGGAGTGGAAAGTGCAAAGTGTGGAGTGTGGAGTGTGGAGTGTAAAGTGTGGAGTGAGGAGTGGAAAGTGTAGAGTGTAAAGTGTAGAGTGTGGAGTGTAGAGTGTAAAGTGACGAGTGTAAAGTGTGGAGTGTGGAGCGTAAAGTGTAGAGTGTGGAGTCTGGAGTGGAAAGTGTGGAGTGTGAAGTGTGGAGTGTAAAGTAAGGAGTGTGCAGTGTAAAGTGTGGAGTGTGGAGTGTAAAGTGTAGAGTGTGGAGTGTGGAGTGTAAAGTGTAGAGTGAGGAGTGAGGAGTGGAAAGTGTAGAGTGAGGAGTGAGGAGTGGAAAGTGTAGAGTGTAGTGTAAAGTGTGGAGTGTGGAGTGTAAAGTCTCAGGTGAGGAGTGAGGAGTGTAAAGTGCAAAGTGTAATGTGTGGAGTGTAAAGTGTAGAGTGTGGAGCCTAAAGTGTAAATTGTGGAGTGTAAAGTGTGGAGCTTTCCCCATAGACACGGCGACGCCACAGGAAAACCAGAGACTCGAGACAAGACACGTGGATGCAGAAAAACCAGCATTTCGTACGAGACGTCCTCCAATTTTGACATTTTCAACACATTATCAAACAGGTTATACAGCTTGGAATGTCACAAAGCGCCACGCCTGCCACGCAAAACGACATGACAACCTGCTTGGACACATTCCAATAGGAGATGTTTTCCAGCTTCCCCCATAGACACGGCGACGCCACAGGAAAACCAACGACTCGAGACAAGACACGTGGGAGCACCAAAACGAGCATTTCGTGCGAGACGTCCTCCAATTTTCACACTTTGAAACATGCCGAAGAGACATGTTTTGCAGCTTCCCCCATAGACACGGCGAAGCCACCATAAAACCAATGACGCGAGACGAGACAGGTGGAAGCACCAAAACGAGCATTTCGTGCGAGACTTCCTCCAATTTTCACACTTTGTAGCTTCAAAATCGACGTTTTCCTACGAGTTTTCCTTAGAACCTGAAAATTTACAACCTCAAAATCGATGTTTCGTGCGAAGCTTCCGTCAATTTTCAGCACATCGCACAAAATGCCACGCCTGCCACGGAATTTGCACTTTGTCGCCACTTGACGCAGCCCTGCCAATGCGATTTACAAAAAACACGCAACACGACACGTCTAAAGTGCTGCGCCTGCCAGGAAAAATGACGATGGGCACGTCGAAAGTGCTGCGCCTGCCACGAAAAATGCAACACATCTTCTGAAAACGTCGCACAAGTATTGCGCCTGCCACACAAAACGACTTTCGACACGTTACAGAACACGTCTGAATGTCACGAAGTGCCACGCCTGCCACGCGAAACGAAGCAACGAGACGTCTGAAACCTCCAAAAAGGACCACCTCTGCAGAACTTACCATAGGCACGGCCATACGGTCCTCACACGAACGGTTGCGAACGGTTGCGAACGGTTGCGGACGGTTGCGACCGTGAACGCAACGTCTAGCGAACACACCCTCAACCCCCAGACCCCCAGAGTGAAACGGGAACCCTTGCTACGCATTCGGGAAAAAAAATTGAAATCTGTTGATCACTCTCTGCAAAATTCCGCTGCAACGAAAGGCCTCGCTGTATATGTTCTTCCACCATTCGGATCGGATGGGAACTGATAGCTATTGACCCATCCCCAAATCAGCACAAACTGAAATTTGAAATGGTCCCCAGAGCCTCTCTACCAGATCTACCAGGATGTGATGTTAGAAGCCGTATGAAGTAATGCTACGATCAGTCTGGTTTAATTAGATCCATTCCATCTATATAGAATGAGAAACTATCCCTTAAGTTCCCCCTTACGCGGGCAAAAAAAACACGCAAATACCCAGGTCCCCAAGGTCCGCGTCCTTGTTTCAGTGACCTTAAACCCCCCCGAAATTTTCATGAAACCCAAAGAGATCGAATGCGAATTGTTTCTTGGGAGTTTTTTTGCCGCCAAATATAAGGTGAAATACCCGCTGAGGCTGAGAATCGTAGATTCTCCACATTCGCACTGCTTCAGTGATTAAAGTCCTAACAAATGCATAAGCAGCATAAGTCTTATAGGTAAAATATCGAGTAACATAGAGTAAAATAGAAAAACATAGAGTAATATATATATATATATAGAGTAACGTTTGCTTGCGGGCACAGCCCTCTGAAAGCTGCAAAGTCAAAAAATAGAGTAATATAAGATGTAAATATAGCATAGTCACACACACACACTTATACATTCTTATACATATACGGTAAAACGCAAGCCTGGATGTTTCTGAAGTCATGGGCCCCATGGCCTTGGCAGCTGGACGCTTGCCCATCTTGCCCATGGCACCTGGCACGCCATGGGTTAACAAAGTACCCCAATGGTAACCCTACATTTGGTTGCTGATCACTGGTTAATCACGGGTTAATCACTCGTCAATCATGGTTAATCACTTGGGGTTGTTTCAACATGTTGGATGACACCGAATTTTCCAGTGGAATGAACATGATTTTCCCTATTGGACCGGCCATGCTTGCGGGTGCACATACCATATGCCATATTTTCAGACAGTGGCCCACATGAAAACTACAGGAAGTTAGCACCAAGTCCAAAAACACTGCTCATGGTTTTGATAATTTAGATGGTGCAACCACCTGCTTTGCCTACCAATAAGTGGGGCACTAAATTCATATCCAACCCCCCGTGCACCATCAAATGGCCTGTCATATTTGTCTGGAAATGGGGTACACCAAAAGACCTCCAGTTGATGATAATCTATTGATGATAATCATCCCCAGTGCAATTTAATGCTGCCTTTCGGCCGTGCTTAAAGGTTCCATGAGACATGCTAGCCAATCCCTAATTCCTCAGGGGATTCAAAGGGTTAGACTGCGGTTTTGTCTACAGTGCCTTTAGTGTTACCAAAGGGTATAGCCTTTTGAAATTGGGCCATAGAATTGCAATTTTCATGGGGACGGAAAATAATGCATCAATATGATTTAACCAATGGATTCGGAGGTACACTATTTTCACACAAAACCTTTACATACCATTATCATCCATTATCCCATGTTATCAACTTATGTAATCCCCAAAGAGGTGTATCACATACATCGCGTTTCACCACTCAGGACGTCTCCCGTTCGACCTCAGGACGGAGTGCTGACCCGTGCGGGTCGGCAAGGGCCGAGAAGCTGCGAGATCTGGGGAACAATCATGCATAGGCACCATGCTTGGGCACCATGCTTGGGCACCGTGCATAGGCACTGTTTATAGGCTCATTGCAGTGAGAATCAGGTGGATTCGCATTCCTGGTTGGAGTGCCTTCACGCTGGGTTCAGCTATTTGCGTGAAACGCATAGCCTTACCTAGGCGTCAAAGGACATCACATAACCATAACTCGATTTTTTGTGCGGTGTTTGTGTGTGCTTGCTCAATCAAAGGATATGTACGAAGGTATTACAGTACTTGACTGTAGCTGCATAGCTGTTCTACCCAGTGTTCACAAAGGAATGGCCCCTTGACTCTCAGGTTATTTGTATACAAGTTAAATGGCTATGGGCCCAGTGGTAATATATTGTTCGTACCAACCATCTAATTACTGGGGTACCCAATTTTGACCCATACCCAAATATGTTGCTGGAAATGGGAAGGTCATGCTGCATCTGGTCTGTTTTATTCTTAGAAGATGGCGACATTGAAGCACATAATTGCCAGTCCTGGCAGGCATATAATCTTCAGAACCCATTCTGTTGTGATGCGTCCAGTTACTAACACACAAGTGATAGTTATGAATAAGGAATAAACGGTTCTTCTTGACTTCTTTGGGTACGGGGAGTATGTTGGATTTTATTCGGAGGGGTATAACATGATATAACTCTCAAACATTCTCAAACTGTAGAAATATAATATGTCTTGACTGAACTGTTTTGATCTCAGTGCTACATAGTTACATAATTTGAACCAACCCATCAGTTTACACCCTTTATAACCCTTGTAAAGATCTATCAGGGCCGCATTTTCCAAGTTCGCCCGCAGGCTCTGTCGCATCTCACCTCAGCCATTTGAGAACTTAGCCATCAGGGCAAAAGTGGTTGAAATCCAAATGTTACCATCTAACAAAAAATTGGGTATCCCAAATCATCCAAAATGAGGCAATTTTAGTATTGAAACCCATGTTTTTGATTGGTTTTTGGGGATCTCTGGGGTTCCCTGCATCGCCACAATTTTCTTGGCGAACAGCAACCGGTGCCCCAACGGGCCGATGCTGCATTCCTCCGGGGGCTTAAAAGAAGGGTAACGAGGCTAGCCTCTGGCAATCTGCATATGGCAATCAATTGATGCAATTATAAGACAAATCCAGAAGCATCACCTTTTTTTGTGCGGAACATCATCTCTAAAAACTAAACGGTGAATGTGAATGTGTGATATGTTTCATTGCCAGGGGTACTTAGCCTAAAGCCAAACCCTCAAACCCGTAAGACATGGTAAGCAAAAGACGGGATGCAGCTACAAACGGTGGGTCACACTTCCCAGCCATTGATGTTGACGTGGAAAAGGCGTCCTTTCAGGATGGTAATGCATTTGTGATCAATTTTGGTCATCAACTCCCCGAATGGCAGTGAAGAAAGCCGTTCTTGTCAATAGGAGTGGCTACAACCTGTCAATAGAAAGTCGTTCTTATTTATACTATTCCTTCCACTATTTGAAACATTTTGAAACTCATACCACCCCGCCAAAATTGGGCTTGGAAGGCCCATGTAAACTCCTGAAACATAGCAATCCACCATGGTATTTCCAAAAGGTCTAGGCAACTGAAATACGTATTCCAACTGTCATGGCAACTCATGCATTTTTTTAGAGCAGTTACCTTGTCCAATAGAATAGCTTGACACATGTTCATCATGCAAAGTGCTGCTTGTTTGAAGTATTTATCAAGTATAGACTCAGAGACTCCAATTCCATCCCATAGACCTTCATTTCCCCCAAGGAAACTGATATATGATGCTCTCTTTGGGGTTTAAGTCCCCCATGGCTTAAGACAAACCGCCAGCGTACCTTCCAGAACTCTGGCTCGATACTGCTCAAAGCACTGACCTGGGACTGGGACCAAGATTCAGGCGCCACAATGGTCTGGCCACTCAGCGTCTATTCAAAACACTCACAACTGATAGAAGTTTCAGGATCTGCTCGGTGCTTTTATAGTCCATTTCTCAATTGGGGGCATGATCCTGAACATGGTTGGACATATATTGCGTATATATGTCATACAGAACATGCTTGAAACTCAGACAACTGTAAAGGTAGTGACACCTGCCGCGGGGTTCTTCCTGAATTTACCTAGGGAGGTACCATGTGACGTAATGTGAGATGTGCTTGGTCGCGTGCATTTTATTTTGGGATCATGCGCTCAGCTGTGCACATTGACATACATAATCATCATGATCATACATAAGGGAAAGCATTGGCATCTGGTTTGGCTGAACAAGATAGGGATGTTCCTTTGAAGCTGGCTAGGTACAATGTGGATTTGAATCCCTTCAGCTCTTGAACTCTTGCCATCTAGAATATATATATATATACACATACACACACACATATATATATAAATCTACCGCGCTTTGAGGTTATATATTCAACAGGCTCGGGAAACCGTTTTCGTGCAAACAACTTCCCCAGAAAACCATTGAGAACTTGAAAGATTGCCCTCGCTTAGAGAGGTGCAATAGCCTCTATACCACGAGGCACAGAGGAACATTTCCCTTTGAGTGTCATTGAAAGAACGCACAATGACACTGGACTCATCCTTCTCCCAGAATCATCTACAAAACACCATGGATATCCATGGATGTCCCCAGTGCATACAAGGCTCTTCGGATGTGTCCGGTCAATTTCCCATCCCCTTCCCAGGAAAATCGTGAGTGACTCTCCCCACTCCGCGCCTCCGACTGCACCTGCGTGTAGCATGAATCCAACTGGTGCCAACCAAGGGTAAAGGGTAAGCAGCTTTTTTAGAAACCTGAAGAATTGGCAGGTATTAAAATATCTTAAGATATATTAAGATAGATAAACATATATTAAGATATATTAAGATACATTGAGCCACTTGAAGGGGATCCTTACTTCTTGGAACATGCCAGCAGGAACTTTAAGTATCTTCAACTTATTCATCTTTTGCTGGGCCTGCTAGATCCTGCTAGGCATACGTGGAGGCCAACATGCTGGGCCTCACCAAGACCTGCCCCATCGACGTGAACCAATCACTGGATGAGGGCCCAAGGTTGCTTCAAGCTGGTTCTCCTGAGGTAGATCATGATCAACTGAGTGATCTTGATTGCTTGCCTGAGCCACTAGAATCACTAGATCAAGTTTATTTTCTGGATCATTGTTTCAAAATGATTGATCATGATTGTTAGCGAAAATAATAGGATCCTAAAATGAACTAAGGCCATATTTTTAGGGCATATCCCTCTAGGCCTTCTGGTAGGTACAGTACCTCCAAGGTATCTGATATCTAAAATAGCCACTGATCAAACAGAGATACCCAGGGCCCGGCCGCACCTCTTTTTTTTTGGCCGCCTCCGCCATTTCTCGCAGGCTGGCATACCTCAGCGGAAGGTCCTCTGTGGGGCGATGCCGTTGGCGCCATTGGCTGAGGGGAATGCAAAGAAGTATGCAGTATACAAAGCGGAAGTAAATAACACTATGACTATATCTGTATTTAATCATTTGGTATCATTTGCATATATATATATATATATACACCTAACTTAAGCACATGTCACATGTTTACATATATCATTATATACCTTTGGTTACAAATCTGTACATGCACAATGCACCAAAGTAGTTTACGTCTGTTGGTGATTCCCTGGCCTTAGCATCCCAGGAGCACCAGATTTGTTGGAGACAAGACACTTCTCCTTGATCGTTGGCAAGTACCTTGGTGAGGTGTACAGCAACTTCTCTGAGACTTTCTTTGATGACTTAATAACGGCGGGGAAAAACACTGCGAGCTCCTACTGGTGCATCAAGCAAACGTGTATGTTTATGACTCTATATTGTTGTCGGTTCATTGTTTTCCTATGTTTTACTTGCTGAATATGGATCAGAAGAAACGTTGGTAGATATGCAAATTATGCAAAACAAACATGGAACATCTGACTGGCAGGTTTCAACTGGTGACCTGATTTAGAAGGATTTAGAAGGTATTGTCACCTGGACTTCGCAGCATCGAAGCCTGGTGGCAAAGCCGTCCCAAGACTGATCCGTGGCTTTGTGGTAATTTTCCCAAGTCAAATTCGATTTGGTGATGTCTACATTATTTTGCTGCCACAAGCGCCGCAAACGTCCATCTTTTTCCAAGTTTTACACGGTCAAGTCCGGATACTGTTGACTAACATCCCCATGTTTGGATAAGAATCGACTTTTTTCCCGTGTTCAACCTGACATTCGTTTGCCAATGTTAGTCCTGTGTTTGCTGGTTGAAGTCCATATTGGATTCTAGACTTCCCTGCGTGTGCTGGTTCCCGCTACAAGCCAAAAAGGACAGGATATATTGGAACCTACATTCTGGGCTGAAAATCGCACGCCTATGTAATCTAGAAAACCATATCTTTAATTCTTATTTATTCCGTTCAAACTGAACAAGAAACTATATATCTAAGACGGTTCGGAAACTCAATTTGTAGCTCCGAACCGGACCTTAATTTATTTCGGGACATTTCGGGAATATGAATAGTCTGAATAGCCATTCAGGGTTTCCTCGATAGGGGTAGCCCCTGGCATCATCCAAGTCATGACCATTTTGGTAGAGGGAGCCATGAGGCCTCACACCCACCGCTGTGGCTCCCCGCTCCAGAAGGTTCCCCTTGCCATCCAGGCTCTCAAGCCACTGCTTCAGCTCCAACTCATTCTCCCGCGACATCTGGGATGGCTGAAAAAAAAAACACAAAAAATGCTGATTTGACCAATAAAAAGGCTGATTTAATGGGTTCAAACAATATTTGTAGTTAATGGCATATACCATGATATAACCAACCGTAAATGGTGATACAATGGGAATATAGAATGGGAAGATAGTTGGATGTGTTTCACCAACACTATTTAGGACAATGAAAACATACTTGGAGATACTACCCTTAATTGAACATAGTGATGGAACATGGCCTATTTAGTTCGTAGTTCATTTACATTTTACGAATGGTGATGTATCATAGCTGTCATAGCTATAGGCTGAATATGTTGAATTATCGGAGGGTGGGTTTTGAATATGTACAAGTAGTATGTTTAACACTTCAGATTTGGATATGTATTATACAATTCTAGTTTAAAGTTTGGGGATTTAATATGATTTTACAATTTAACCATCAACACTTAAATTCATCCGATTTAAGCATGAAAACATGGGGAACACCATCAGGGCAACGTGGGATATAAACAACAGTATCTCTCTCTCTCTCTCTCCCCGGACTTATGATGTAGGGGATTTTGTTTAGCCAAGCAATTGCCATTTTGCTCAGGAACCAAAACAAGTTAGAATTGGGGGATCCCAGTTTATGGTCAATGAATGGTGATACAGAGAAAATATGAATGGTGGACTAACTAACAGCAATGGAAAAGTGATGATATCCATGTGGGATTTTAGGGGTGACCAATGCTTGGACAAAACGAAATGGGTACGACATAGATGGATACTGTATGATAGTTCAGAATGGTTCTCCGGATAGAGGTATCCAAATGATTGTGCTCGCTGTGTGGAGCATTTGGGATACGGACTATGAGGATTTTTTTGCGATTCATATAGGCATTGCTGATATACTAGATGGCCTTGAACCCACTCTACCACCACGGCCAAACGGCCTGCTAAACGACGCAACACAAAAATGCATGAATGAAACACAACACTATCTGCTAAGTAACTTTTTGATATTTTTGACTTCAAAGGGAGGTTTCAAGGCATGCCTAAGATGGGCCTAAGACTTAAGACTATGCTGCAAGAATCACATAGAATCATGTTGGGAACCATGCTTTTATTTGAGAACTACGCGGGGTTACTAGGTTGCCATGTCACCAAAAACCAAATGAAACATGTCAAAACTTCGGACCATTATGGCCGCCTCTGGACAGAGCTATGCTACCCTGCGCCTGTGATAGTATAAAAACATAAGAAAACTATTTGGCTGGGCACCATTTACGGACAATAATCTGAACTCTCCAACTACCTCAGCAAGGTTTAATCAAAATCACACAAAGGAGCAAGTACCGGAGAATTTGTCAGATCCTGCTGTCAGCAAATCCAATCTCCGGTTTGGTGGTTTCCCGCATCCTCACTACAACCAGGGATGGAGAAGCAACCTGTTCTGACAAGGTTTCAAGTTCTAATATCTGATATTTATTGATATTCCCTCTATATTCTATATGTATAATACGTTATAAAACATCATAATACATTGGGGCCCTGTTCTCACCCGCCAACTACTTCTTGATCTTCACCACGCTCCCGTCCTTCGGAACCTTCGGCTCCACTTGCGCAGTGCTGTGGCGGGCACCTGGTTGGAAGCGCATCCCCGATGATCAACCCGGTCGTTAAAAGAAGATACGGAAAACCATTGAAAACCAGCCATGCTAATTGACCCGAGGGTAAGTGAGTGATTTGCAAACACAGCTGAAACTAGGAAAACCCAGTTGTGTCTAGGTTACTCAGTTGCTGCCTTGACCATTCACTACGTACCTCAAGTGCACATGAAACCATGTGCTTGTTTGAACCCATGAAAGTATGAATCAATATCAACATCTCAAATGGCGCCCTTGATTAACTAGTCTACAGCAATTAGTTTCCGTAAAAAATGAAAAATCACTAAGTACCAGGTAGTGCCCGGCACGCGTGGGGGCGGAAGTTTTCAAAAATAGGACGTGACGTGACTATAGGAACCAGTTTGCAAAAGTTTTGACGTGACTATAGCTTACAGGAATTGTTGGTGAGCTGGAAAGAAATGAGTTGAAATGAAATGAAATAAATGGAACTGAAACGAATGAGTTGAAAGAAAGGAATGAATAATGAATCATTGAATGAATGAATGCATGCATGTATGCATGTATGAATTAATTGTGCCGATCTCATCTTCCAAAAGTGCTCCGAACACCTCAAATTTGTTTAAGATTTTTATATGAAACCGAGCTCTCGCTACAGTCTCGTGCACATTTTGCCAACCCCATCTTCCAAAAATGGTCTGGGACTCTCAGTTTCTTTTATGATTTTTATGTGAAATCGAGCTCTCGCTAAAGTCCTGTGCACTTTTTGTCGACCACTTTTGCAAATCCAGGCCCGCAACCGCGGAAACAGAGACCCTACAATTTTACCAGAAAAAACATTGGCTTTCGCGCCCGAGACTGTATTCAAGCCTGAATTCACGCGTTCCGGACCTGTTACACTTCCCATTGCTTGATGATGATGTGGTAGCGGTTGACATGATGATGTGGTTGACATGCTGGTGAGAATGCTGCCCATGACAACCGTCCGTAACTCTGAAGTTTTTCAACTAAACTTAATTTGATAAATCCATTACTATTCTTTCTAAATATATGTAGGTACAGCTTAGTTCAACGCAGTTGTTGACAAATGCGGTTGATTTGTCTATATAAATATATATATATATATATATACTACATACCCAATAAAATAAACATCTGCATCCATTTGAGATCCATCAAAATTCTTGCCACAAGGCGACGCTTGGGGCTTGAGGATGGCCCTTGCGGCTCCTGACGCCGCGTGTCCCACATGTTTTTGAACCAATCCGTCTGGAATTGAGGGTACAATATGTTCACACAAACCCATTATAACACTAGTTTAATTTGCATGCTAAATATCCATATATATATATATATGTATGTGTATGTGTGTATGTGTGTAGGTGTGTATGTGTTTATGTGTGTATGTGTGTGTATGTGTGTGTGTGCGTCTGTATGTATGTATGTATGTATGCATGCAAGCATGCATGCATGCATGCATGCATGCATGTATGTATGGTGCAGTGTCGGCCAGCCGACCCCAATGGGAATGGGTGTTCAGTCTTGCTTCTTATGGTTCCCTGTGGTGGCGGGGTGTTGGGGCTGTTGGTGATGAGTGGCCAGTCCTGGTTCTTATGGTTAGTTGTATGTATGTGGTGCATGTAGGTATGTTTGTATGTATGTATGTAGGTAGGTAGGTATGTATGTGTGTGTATGTATTGTCTGTATGTCTGTCTCTATGTCTGTCAGCCTGTCTGCCTGTATGTATTTATGTAGGTAGGTAAGTAAATAAGTAAGTAAAAAAGTAAGTAAGTACTGTAAGTAATGTGAGTAATGCACGCAATCAAAGTATATAATGAAAGTAATGAAAGTAATGAAAGGAATGGAAGTAATGAGAGTAATGAAAGTAATGCAAGTAATGAAAGTAATGTAATGTGACTTAATGTAATGTAACGTAATGTATGTAATGTAATGGCATGTCATGTAGAATTAAGCATGTAGTGTCATGTCATGCAATGTTACGCATGTAATGTTGTGTATGTAATGTTAGCTGTGAATCGGAGGTTATCTCCCCGATTATGTGCTGTTGTTTGATCTTGAGGTTGATGTTCTCAACAACGACGACACGGGAATTGCAGTTTCAGCATGGCGGCGTTTTTCTCTTGGCACCTGCAGTAATCTTGAGCCAAAGGAGCAAATTGATGCGTCCCTTGGCGGTGGACAATTAAGAGTTGAATTATATGGGAGTGTGCAGTAATCCGTAGCCTACACTCCATTCGCACCCCCCACGCATGGCCAACTTTGTTGGCCACGCGCAAAGGAGTGTCCCTTAAATTGATCCACTTCGTCTGCAGCTGTTCATTTGTTGAATTATGGAGAGCTAAAGTCCGTTCAGAACTTCAAATCTACATGGCGGCTTGCTACGATCTCTACCAAAAGATAAAGGTTCTGTTCACGTGCATGTCGACACGACGTAGTCGGTGTCAAGCATTGAGGTTCATCCGATGTGGCGTAGCCAGCATGGAGTCCCACTCAAGCATGTGAATTAAAAAATCAAAAAACAAAGATGACTATGGAACTAGAAGTTTACCTTCCCGTTCCTTCGTCGGTTGAGACGTAGACCGCTGTAGAAACTCAGCGTATCGCGCAATGATGTTCAAAAAAAATGTGGTTTTAAATTAGCCGGCTCAGAGTCCTCTCAGAAATCATTCAAAATGAAGTAGAGGTAAATCTCGAGCAATGATTGCATCCTCGCATCGCCAGGTTCAATCGGGACCTATGCAGAGGTCAGATCGCTTAATCATCTATTTCCCCATCCATAGTATCCCTGATGGTTCCAGTCTCCGCCACGGTGTGAATAAGATTTTCCACCTTTTCCTTGGTCTTTTCCACCCTTCTTTGGCGGGGTCACTGGAGCTTGTTTTGGCGGAGGAGCGGTTTCAACTGTTCTCCATGTCGCTGACGATGATGCTTTCGCTTTCGACACTCTTCCCAGTGCTGGTGCAGCTTTCGGGGCTGCTTTCGATTTGCCAGCGGCTGGATTGGTACGTTCACGATCAGCAGGAGTCGGGGTATCAGCAATCGCAAGTATGTGAGCTTCAGACAAGTGGATGCCCCACCTTGGTCGTTGATCTTCCCGTTGCTTGATGTGATTGTAGTCATCGATCGCATCATATAGCTTTTGGAGTAGAGGTCGCGGCAATTGTCGGCCATTCTGAAGGATCAGGTGTAAAAGTGATATTCTTCGAAGTGGTGGACGAAGAGCACACACAATGTCAACTGGATTCAGTGTGATTGTGTCTTGAAAGTCAACGTTCCTGAAGAAATAAACAGCATTTACCCTATATGCGCCTGCAATGATTCTTCTGACCATGACGTCTTGTCGGTCGAGGGCGTCGCGGGCCGCTGTGGTCTTTCTCATCTCATCCATTGTGGTGTCACGTTTCGACAGCTTCTCCATCTCCTCATCAAAGAATATGTTTTGCAAGTCATCATACGTGTTGCCACATTCAAGGGTATATATGAGAAGTCTTTTGAGTACCACTGCTCCATAGTATGCATTGACGAATCCCTCTTCTCCGATGTCGTCCTTTTGATTTGGTCGGCCGATCTCTTTGTAGAGCTCTTTCATCTGTTGTGCAGTTGGTTCAATGAGTTCACCATTTTCATCCTTGCCCAGGTAAGGTGTTCTTGAGTCCAGGTCCATCCTGAATTTCTGGTTCTGTTGAAAATGTTTCCATGCCGTCTCGATGTCTCCACAGAAGTTCCGTTGGAATAGTCTGTAGATCCTGACGATATGTAATCCAATCTGCAACAGGAGGATCTTGATGAATTCTGGCTGAGCATCTCCAATTGTGCAAGGTTCGATCGGCAGGACCTTTGATCCAAACTCAATCCGCTGCATCCACTTGGGGTACTCAATCACTGCATCACGAGCTTCTCCAGCCTCGTACTCTTCAATGTTGATTTCATCGACCGCTATCTCTTCATCATCGTTCTCATCGGTCGGTTTTCCTTCTTGATTGAGAAATTTGTCGACCTCATCTTGTTCTCTGAAGTCTCTTTTCTCATCATTGATGTCGCCCTTCTTCGAGGCTTGATCATCATCTCCTTCTTCTGGTTGAGTCTCTTGTTCTGGACTCTTCATGGTGACATCATCATCATCTGGCATCACCTCGTCGTCATCATCATCACCTGTCAAATCGATCTTCACCTCCTCCCATGCTTTCTTGACATGGTCCTTGAGGTCTTCTTCTCGATGATGCGATTCGGTACTTGGTACTGTAGCCACGGTGATCTTGATTCGTTTCCTCCATCCATGACTCATCAAAAATCCTTTGCACATCACACAAATCGATAATGGCGCAGGGGTCTCCATCAGACATGCGGGGCATAGTCGATGGTCCTCTTTGCTAGGGTGATGAGTGACTGCCAATAATGAAATTGCATCATTCCAATCCGGATGTCCAGGGAACAATCTGTGAGTATGACTGAAGTGACCGGTCCTGATATCGACAAGTTTTCGAAGTTCGTCTAGATCGGGTGATGATTCTTCAGGCACAATGTTTCCAATGAGCTTGTCAAATCGTTCAATGGTGGCCACCCTCTTCGCGCCTTGCACAGAAAGAACAAGTTGATCTCTTCCCTTCGTGATCATGAGACGGTAATAGTCCTTTTCTCTCCAGTCGTAATACCAAACCGCGTCGAATGATTCGAATGGAATTGTTTCTTGGACCAAAATGTGTCCGTCTGCTGATAATCGAGGGGAGAACTTGGCGATGGAATCATACGTGATGTAGATGTAGACAAGATCGGTTTGATCAATCTTCCTGAATCTCAGCACCATTTGACTTCTCACATCCCACGGCGCGAACGGCACGAAGAACGTATTGATGCGGTCGCCTCCTCCTCCTGGACGTAGTCCTTCTCTGAAGATTTGAGCGATGTTGTCAAATGTGGTGCAATGAAATCCTCCTCCAAGAGTGTATCCTACTCCAGGGTTCATCTGATATGAAGTCTTCTTGTCTTCAATGTGCACACCGCCTTGAACTCTTGAATGCGCCATAGGGGCTCGGATTGCCACCGGCCAAAGCCAAATCTCTCGATCTGCTGTGCCGATCTCCATCCTCAGTGTTTGTCGATCAAGTCTAGAGGTCAATCCATCATTGAAGTTGTTCATGATGTGTTCCAACTCACCTTTCGTGACCTTGAGTCCTAGCACTTGTGCTCGGATTCTCTTCGTTTGCTTGTACTCAGTGAAGATCACTCTCTGGAAGTTGTTCCATCTCTCAACAAGTATCGGGTAGTTGACGTAGGCCGTTCCAGCCAAAGTATGTTGGTCTTTCCAAATGGCATCGTACTTCAAGATCGACTCAACATTGACCCAACCTGCCTCGTCGCATGGTAGTCCACGGTGATTTCGATTGTCTCTGACGCAACCCACGGAGTGGCGTAGCGCTGCATTGAACCTTTTTGGCAATTCGACTATCCATGGCGGATTTTCCCACTTGTTGCCCATCCACTCATTCTCGCCATATCGATGCACTTTGCACCAGCCCATTCCAAGATATTCTTCTCCGTTGATGCGGGCAAGTTGAAGTTTACCGATGTTGTGGCCGTGTGTGAATGGTTGGATGTACTTGAAATTCCAGTTGTTTCCATGTTGTTTTCTTTCTTCAGTAAGCCATTTTACATAAGCATCATGATCAAGGGGGTTCCAAGCGTTCAGCTCTTCAATGGTCGGCAAAACAGGCGGGGATTCCTCAGCCGCACGCTCAATCAGCAAGTCAAGCTCATGACGATTCTTCACACCTCGGCTAATTGGGTTGACTTCGACACCATTCACTAAGTATTGTCCTCCTTCTTCACGATCACCAATGTCGTACATAAAGGCTGACTGACTGTAGAAGCACTTGGTCACTTCCTTTTCTCAGTGAATCTGGTTCTTCCCCAACGCTTTCCTCGTGGCATGACGTTCTTTGGGAGCTTGTCTTTTCTGCCTCTGGTTGCAGCTTTGGATCTTTCGGATGATGATGGGGATTTGGACTTCTGATCCATGATCAGCCTCATGCGCCATATGGTGTCCTTCATGTTCTCATCATCTGGTGTAGTACATTCGTCAATGCCATGTCTTCCACCACAAATGAAACAATATTGAACATCCAATGCATCTGAAATCAGCTTCTCAAAACGATCACGGATGTCACGCACCTCGGTTCGGCGCTTCTTCGCTTCTGAAGGTTGTCCCCCCATG